TAGAAAAGTGATCTGATATTGCTAGGCTACAGTTGAACAAAAAAGATTTGTGTATAAAGGACTGAGTGATTTTAAACTTCTTATGTTATAGTATTTTTTATCAATATTTTATCATAAGAAGTCAGCGCAGTGACTTTGAGTCTCGCTTTGCTGGTGCAGGTAAGCTGTCTCTCTGTTCAAGTGTCATTCTTCAGTGGTTTTCTCTGCTGATAAAAGTTGGCAAGGGGAATGAAAAGGGACAACTGCTTATAGCTATCCAGAAGAACAAGGAGAGAATGAAAGAATTGTAGTTGTTTTTGAAACGACGTCTCTTCCCTTCTGGCTGCAGGAGTCTCTGCCAGCCCTAAGTGTGTGTCCCACATGTCGTGCACCCACCGAGTCTGAGATGCCGAGATGCATCACCCTGGGTAGGTGTTGCCCGCGACCACCTTCTGCAGCGATTGCCTACTTTGGATGTTGCAGAGCAAAAAGTAGTTCCATTAGGAGGTGATGCTCTGGGCTTATGAGGAATGCTTGGAAATCTGTATTCATGAGAGTTAATGGTTGGCAATTTCTAAGCTTTCCTCTGCTCCAGGCCAAATGCAGATGTTATTCAGAAAGATTATCCATCAGATTCAGCTTAAACTTCGCTTTCCTCAACTATCCTAGACTTTTTTTTAATAAAAACTCTCCAGTGTCCTCACACCACCAGTACTGTCTCCAGAGCTGCAGCACAGGCCCATGTGGTTGGCTGACAGCAACTGCAGCAACAGGCAAGACTAAGCAATGGGAAAACGGGACAGTTAGAAGGTGAGAGGATATTTGGCACATTTACCCACTGTCTGCTCCTTGTGAAGCTCTTCCAAAGCCTGACTGGAGCTCTGACTGTCACACGGTGTTTGAAGACCCGATCCAAGAAATGACTCAGGGCCCATCTGTGTTGCCAGATAACTTCATTCTGTTGTTTGCTCCTGGTCCTCGCCGTCTGACTGTCCATGCTAAGATGCTGTTTTGAAACGAGCCAGCTAGTCCCCTCCAAGAGGAAGCTCTCCAGGGCTGCTGCCATGGATGCAATGCATATTCTCATCATCATGCTGTCTCACGGCTCCAGTGAGCTGTGAAACATCCCTGGTATCAGCTCAGCTATCTGGGACCGACGTCACCGTTCTGCCCTAGGATTGCCGGTCGGGTCCCAGCGGGTGTGAGTGCAGATGAGGCCATCTCATGCAGGAGGGAACTAGTCCTGAGCCATGCCCTTAAATCCCGTAGGCCAAAGAGGGAGGAAGTTGTTCAGGGTTGGACTGATGAGTGTGCAGTGGGGGTGGTTTGCTCTGACTATGCGGCCCATTGCAGGGAGTTGCCTTAGTTGTGAGTAACACATGGGTTTAGTAATAATTTAAAATTTACAGCATACTGTGACAGTAACTTTGTATGGGAATCCATAGCTATATTACTTTTTTCTAGCTTTATCAACAAATACAGCCTTTCTTAACAGCCTTCCTACCCTTTTGCCTTGCGATTTATTTTTGAATGTGTTATAAATAGCCAGTGGTCTAGATTGGGTCAGTTCCCTAGGGAAATAAGTGTATGCCACTTATATATTAGAGGTTAAATTCTTCCCTGCCATATGCTCACTGAGTACAGCATTAGAAGAGGTGTAAGGCAGGAAAGAATTTGATACTGTGTACAGAAAGTAATTTAAAGAATTACAGAAATTGCATTTTTAGAAACCTCGTTATAAGGTCTATTCATTTTGTCAAATGACCAGTAATTAATTTCACAGAAGATGTTAAAGAGTGTAAACTCTAAACTCTCTGCTCTGACTTGGACTTTGACATTAAAAGTACAAGGCCTGAGTGTAGTGGGTTTTCAAGGGTACACTCAGTGTTGGCTGGGTGACATGTTGTGGTGACCAGGTGGCAGGATGGGGGAGAGAACTGTGTGCTTCCCTTAAACCAGGCAGCGAAGGAGCCGCTGCCGAGCATGGCACAAGCTGATTTCTTTTATCAGAAGCTGGCCAGTGGGCCTTGCTGGTGTGGCACCTGTCTTTTTATGCCTCTAGTCCTCCAAAGGTTACAAAGATGGATTCTCCCTACAGGGTGGAAGACAAAGTATGAGGGATGCATGTAATTATATGGCAATTCATCTGTTTTTTTCCAGAAATGCTAACTGACAGCTAGTCATCCGGCACAAGCCACTGTGTTTCTTCTTCTCTGCCATCTGCTGTGTTTGCCCTCTTCCCTGCCTACTCATGGTAGAATTGTCCTTTTCTCAATCCTGCTAAGATTCCTGGACAGCTGAGCACCATTGTGCCACTGCTGGACCAGCATCACTGCCTGTTGAGATGTGACCTGGAGGAGATGGGTATAAATGCTGACTCCCTGCAAGTTACCCACCCACTGACACTTTGGCTTAGCTCCTCACTCAGAAATCTCTCTTGATTCTAATAAAGAAACCAAAACAAAGTGAGGTTTGAAGAAACTGTAATCTGTCTCATGCATGGGTGAAACAAAATCCCTCTCATTTGCTGTGGGAATTGTACTTCAAAATTTACAGCAGAAAATTCATACTGATGATATATGTAACGTAAATTATTCCTTTCCATAATGAAAAATTTTAATACAGGTGAAAAAACCTTCAACCTATTTTGACCCTATGGAAGGTCGAAAGAAAAGTCTGACTTCACACTGCCTTTTTTTGGAAGGATGCTCTTCTTACTTTGGTTTAACAATCCAGCATAGAAGAAAACAGCCTGGCTTGAGCCAAAGAGAAGAGCAGAGTGAGTGAATAATGACAGCACAAATCAGCAGTAAAGAAGCAGTCTGCTGCAGCACCTGTACAGAAAGCCCGAGGCCAGCGAGGAAAGTGGCAGAAAGATTGCAGTGGGAAATGGCGTGGGGAGCACCATATGCACCGTGCACTGAACGGCTGAGAGCAGCACTTTAAGCTAGCCGAAAGATGGGGGAAATGTCTCTGTCCTTGAGTAAGGGCAAAGGGAGGAATTTTTGAAGACGGACGATTCAAAACCATACTCCTAATGTTAGGAAAGTGCAGGTTTGCTTTTATTTAAGCTACAGTGTGTTGATGCTAATGAGGCACTGTGGGTGTTCAGAGGGATGCAGTGTGCGGACAGGAACCTAGTATGGCTGTTGGGTATTTCTTTAGATGAGAAATGAGTATTGATATGGTTGCATGAAGTTTACAATACAAGCAATCCATTAGTCAATCCAGTAAATTAACCGCTTTGAATGCAAATTAGGGAGAGCTGCTGTTTTGCTTTGTTTGCTGTGCTCGTTTTAGGTAGGGTTTGTTGCAGAAATTGTTTGAAGTGGGAATATAGTTGACTAACATTCTCAAAATAGACTCCGCTATTACTATTAGGTTGTTTACAATTAATGGAATGCTAGATTTTTCTACTAGATGCATTTTCTTCCTAATTTTGAATTTCCCTAATCTGCTGAGTCTGTTCCACTTGGGATAAAAGAGAAGAAAGTGTGTTGTGTGAAATCAGTACAGGTCATTAAAGCCATTGCACAGGATGCAAGGTTAAGGTTCCTTCACCAAATCAGGCGGACAGTATGTTACTGTCCTTTCTGTGGGGTTTTTCCCTACTTTTCATTTTAAGTGAATAGTACTGGAAGCTGAAGGATGGGCCACTTACCTGACTTGTTTTGGTACCTAAGGGAGGGGGAGGATTCGTGGCAGAGGGTCCCAGGGATGTTGAACAGATAATGCCCTGCGCAGGGATGGCAGCTTCCCAGGATTTCAGTCTGGATGAACTTACTTCCTCCTTCAGGTCTCTTCCTTTAATAAGAACATAAAAAGAGGTCGTTTGAATGACCTAGGTGTTTGGTTTCTGTTTTGGCTTTGTCAGTATATTGTGTTGTGAGCTTCGAGTTGAAAATCAGTGTGAGTTTGCTGCTGACATCAGTGGGGGTGGGAAGCAGCCAGGTCCCCCTGACGTTGATGGCATTGGCATCCCAAAGCCAGGCAGGATGTGAGGGCTCAGCTGGAAAAGCTCTACCAGAGTCTCACGGCTTTACAATCTATTTACTGATGCTGCAAGATGTTTTTCATAGATTCCTTTTCTTCTTACCTAAATGTGGACACACACAGATCAATCAATGAAGCTTGAAAATCTTCCTAGTTCTTAAATGAACATTCTGCTTCATTAGTCCTTTCATGTGTTTTGCACAGAATGAGCCAAAACTAAGGAAGTACCTTATTGTGGATGATCAGAAACACCTTCTTTCCCCTTGTTTTTCAAAAGGCAGTGCACATAAACTGAATGATGTCTGTACACAGAGTTGTCATTTTCCATATATAACCACAGTGTCAGGCAGCTCATTATTTCATCATGTTAGGAGAAAAATCAGTGTCAACAGCCAAGGCTTGTGACTGTCATTGGTTTTGTTTAAAAGCCAAAGTGTTTGATCTTTTGAGGAATGAAAAAAACCCAGCTCCTGTATTTTTTAAAATACTTTGCACTTGGTCTTATCTAAAAGCATCAAAAAGTGAAAAATCTAATGTGACATTATACGTTCTAGTGGCCCCTAATAGCCAGTCACTCCACCACTTTTTCTAACTTTATCTTTAATCTACTACTCCCAAACTAATTAAAGACTGAATGCCTTTGGACTGATTTTCATTTTGTCTTGAGTTATTGTGACATCTTTACTACAAATTCTTTTTCAGTCTAATTAAATTCCTGCAGCATAAATGTCATTATTAATATCATCACCTTTGGTAGACTAACTTTGCCTTGGTCTCCTGATAACTGTGTGTTGTAGACTAACTCCCTTTCTTCCTGGTTAATATTTGAAAAGTTTGGCTTGAAGTAAGAACATCTCGAGGCTTAGCATAGACAGAATCCATTAATATAAATATATTAATTCAAATTGATGGGGTTTTATTAAAAAATCCAATAGTTATGCTATGATATTAGTTTTCAGAAGAATATTTCAAAACTCATTTAAAACTTTTCTTTTTATCTTCAAAAATCATTCCTGGATGCTAATTCTAATAATTTAAGGATTAGAAGTAATTCCCACTTATATGGCAAAAATTTCCGATCAACTCATTAATGCAGGTGGAATGGAGACTCACAAAAAGAATTTATGTGGGACAGCAGAGGACTGTGAAAAATGAGTATTTGTTTCCTCAACCCAAAAGAAGCTTTTCTGCAGGTTCTCTGCAGAGGACAGGACACCGTCCCAGGAATTGGGGGGAGCTCAACATAGGATGAGTAGGTGAGTCCTTTTGTCCTTAGCAGGTAAATATGAGAAAGAACTGCCATGAAAAAAAGAACTGATCCGAAAATTTCATGATCTATCCATTAGTTGGGCTAGCATTGTCTTGATAACTTTTTGTTAATCATGAATTTAATAATGATCTTCTTAGCTCTCAATCCATCAGTCAGTAATACAGCAATTTTCTGAAGGGCACAGGTAACTTTGGATTACCTTTTGTGGGAGGTGTATTAGGAGTAAATCAACAAATTGATTCCTAGTCTAAAAAACGGATTAATTTATTAAGGTGAGGTTTTGATCATTGATCTCTAAGTTTTGATGAGCGTTAGTGGTATTAGAATTGCAAGTCCAGACATCCATAACAATCTATTAAGTTAATAGGCAATGAGAGTTTGAGATTGATTGCTGTAATCACAGCATGAAAGCCAAAATTTGTTTTGTAGATATAGATAACCGGGTCAGATTCTGGCATAAAATCTGTCTGATAAAATTCTGATTAACTAAAAAGGAGAATACAATGCTATTCAAAAAGGGTGGGACTCTTATAATTTGACTCCCATAAAAGAGTCCTAAATTATTCTTCACAAGCCCATATGAGTTTAGGCAAGCCTAAATAGGTATAGAAAGTATGCTTATATAAGTATATAAGTACATAACTGTAATGGCTCTACAGCACAACCTACATCATCCCCTTGGGAAGCCACGATGTGCAGTAGCATCACAGTCTGTATGGGAATGATATAATGAATGAGGTCTCTGATCTTCAAATGGAAGCAGACAGAAGTAGAAGGCTTGCTGCTGCTGGGAAATCCTCCTTCACACCCCGTATCTGTGGCAGCAAACCTCTGCCGACCCAGGGGAGCTTGGGGGGTTCGGCTGGTGTTGTGGGCAGAGGCTGTGCCTGCTAAGCAGCCCTGTAATGGGTGGCCAAAAGCTCGCTGAAGACTGATTAAATTGCTAAGTTAATATATTGAAGAAAGTGCACTTTAATAATTAAATTGCTCCAATGCAATCACCACATTCGACTATTTTTCTCTTTGCGCTCTTGCTTATATGTTGACTATCCTTGAAGAAGTCCCCGCTTCCAGAGCTTCCTTGGTGCTCCCTGAATTTTACAGGTTAGCCCCTGACGCCATTCCTTTCCCTGTCATCATGAGACTCAAAGGGTGTCTCCCGTGCCTTCAAAAGCCTGGTCCTGAGCTGTCAGGTGAGGCTGACAGTCCCAACACATGCCCTCAGCTCTGAAATCCTCCAGTCCAATTTTAAACATGGTGCAGTGGCTTATCTGCTAAATAAAATCTAAATGAGAAATGTTGATACTTAATGAAATATAAGTTTGGGGATTTCACATAAGAAAGCTGCTGTCACTGCTTTAATTTATTAGGGGAGAGTTATGTGCAGATGGTATATACAGAGTTATGTCCTGACTGTACTCCAAAGTAAGTTGATTTGTGGTTTAATGACTTTTATCAAAATGAAATAAGCATTTGATCTTTGGATTTGATCTGGCTATATCTGCAGCTGCTACACCACTACAGCAATTACTTCCAAACTGGGCTTTTTGCCCAGGCAAATGGAGTTTGTCCTTGTTTCATGTCTCACTGACTGTCCTGATAATACACACAGTGGTACTGTAGGTTTTTTCTTCCTCTAAATTTGATAGGTGTGAAAGTAAGATAGTAATTCCCCTTTTTAGTATCAGTGTTGTTTTATTATAATACATTCACTACCACTGGTTAATTTTATCTCGAAGCTGCTCCTATCTAAAATTTAGTATAAGAATGTGTAACTTTCTCCACATAATCCTGCTATGCCCTTTTTACAGAGAACCAAGAATTTAATTTATGAATTCTAAAGCTGGGAACCCTCGTGGTAATCTTCACATCTGTCTGTGTAGTTTAAGGATGAAGTTGTAGCAATACATTGTACACTCACGCTGGACTAAAACCACTCCTAATGTATTTCCATGGAAGGCAGTAGAGTGATACAAGGAGTAAATTTACCCCCTTGTATCCATCTCTGAAAGACTGCTCTTTTTCACTACCAGCTAATTAATTGCTTACAGAACGAAATTGTAGTGTGTTAAGACTAGCAGTTCTTTTTCCAGGACAATACTTCTTTCTTTATGTACTCTTCAGGACAAGATTCCCCCAAGTTCAGCTCCAAAAGCTCCTGGTGAGAGATCATCATTAAGATTAACAGTTCTTAGGGCTTGCTGCTGCCAGCTGTGACTTTCATGAGTAGTCCCAGCTCATGCCAGCTGCATTTTTGGCCAGAGTGTAGAAGACAGCAGCTAATTCAGTGGCGTGCAGCCAGCTCACCTGGGTGAGGACTAAGGGGAGAAAGCTGCTGGTTTGCAGGATGCAGTGTGTTCTCTGAATAAGGCGGTGCTGGATGAGGATGCTCTGGAAACAACCTAGGTTTGCAGCGAACAGATCTGAAGGCTGCAGACCCACAGTGGCAAGGAGATGCAGTTGCAAAGAATTACAGAACGGTTTCAAGATTTTTGTTCTCCCCTTGTTTACAGTCACGCTGGGAGAAAGCGTGCTGCACTTTTTATGGCTGGAAGATAGATTTTAAATTGGATTTTTTGGCAGGATATTTCTTAGAGATATGTGATAAAAATGAAAATAACTGGAACGTGACTGGTGAATGAGTTGTCTGTAGATTTGCAATCCTACCAGAAACTCCATGAGAACACGGTTCATCATGAGAGCTCTGGAAGGCTTTTCCTGTGCCAGGGCTGCTGCTGTGTCTTTAGCAAATCAAACTACTTGCACAGTACTTGCTTCTTAATCCAGGAAAATTAAAACCACCAGTGATAGCTGTATTGTCTAGCCATCTGCTCTCCCAGGTGCTCCCACGCCTGATCAGAGATGAAGTGATGTGACCTAGAATCCTACCGCATATCTGGGATCATTCCCAGCACAGTCCCAAGCTTCAATCTTCTGCATGACATCAGATGAAGTAAACATCAAGATTTGATGCGAGAGCATATGTCCATTGCATAATTCATTAGAGTTCTTCTCTGGAACTATTTTTAGATATCTTTCGAACAGAATTAGAGGGTGAGGATTATGCAGGAAAAAAAAAGAGAAGAAAATTATGGGGGTTCTCAGAACCATGCCTAGGTACTTCTGGGACTGAAGGCAAATTTGGCCATTCAGCTCTGTGTGGTTTTTAAATAATTACTGCCGTCTTGGACAGTTCCACAGTCCTTCATGGCAGCTTGGCTGTGAGATGGTATAAATCCGCTAGTGGCAAAGGAAACCTGCTCCTTTTTTTACTTACCACTGCTGCTAAAACCCCTGTCAGGTCAGACAACATAATTCTTCCCTCACACCAACTTCAGAGCTGTATCACTCCATTGCCTTGAGTGTGATTGTTCCTGATTCCAAACACGAGGCACATTCAAAACTATTTACCTTCTGTTTTACAGTGTATCTAACACCAAGTGTTGGTAGGACGTAGCAGGCAGAGTAGATGGTTAGCCTGCCCAGGCTGTGCAAAATGCCTCGTAACTGCAAATCATTGCAGCGATTACAGCTTGTTCTCTTGTGTCAGCAAGAAAATGTGAAATGCATTCAGCTTCTGTGGGACACCTGGGATGTTCCTGTGTTCTTAAACGCAGGCAGTGCGTGCCCCTTTTTCCTTGCCTCATTTCACCTGACACGTGCAGGATGAGTGGTTTTGCTGTGAGGAAGTATATATAAAAAAGCCCCAAACCAACAAACCTAAAACGACAAAAACCCCCAACCCCAAAACCATATTGTACAGTATAAGTCACTGAAAAGAAATGGAAGGAGGAGCTATTTTGAGGACTTTTATATCTTCCTTATTGCTAGGAGACCGCTTCCCATGCGTGCGGTGCTCTTCAGGCTCTCAGCAGCTGCCTCATTTCTACAGCAGCGTTGAGGGCAATTTACAGAGCAGCTTTGTACGAGAGAAGGCGAAGTAAACTTGGATGGGAGCTGATTTTCATTTTTCAGTCTTTCTGAGACAAAGGCAAAAGTACATGAGGGACAACTGCAGGTGCCAAGGAGAGTGTCATGTCTGGAATGTCAGGGATCTCGCGCTGACCTCGGTCCGTTACTCAGGTTTCGCGACAGCCATGGCTTGCTCTCTGCAAAGAGTGGTGTGATTATGTAATTTACCACATTTGGCTTAAATTTGTAGTGCTAGGGAAGCCACTAGTGCAAAAATGTAGTATTGCCAAGCACAGAGCCAAGTTTCAGCTTGTCCTTGATGGTCAGTCCATGAACTGTGTGGGAACTTACACCATCAGGTACCAGTGCCTTGAGTCACACCAAGGGCAGATGCTCAAGGCAGCCGTCAGGTCAAAGTGTGAGCAGTTGCCAGACCCACCACTCATGACTCCACTGTATAAAATTTTAAATTCTGATTAAAAATTATTGTCTGGGAACCACAGTTTTAATAAGGCACCTGAAGTAAAATGATTGAGATTGGGATTGTAAATGGACAGATCTCTTAGGGTTGCAGTCATGAGTGAGTAAAGCCTAGAAAAAATCAAATCTAAGATCATGAGAACATGTGAATTTATCATCTCAAAGGGAGTTACTGAGACAACTGTACAATATCTCTTACCATATTATTCACACTATTGCCAGATGGCCAGGAATGGGATCCCCCACGTTCTCCTTCTAGTCTAAGAAGACAAGAAAATAAACAAGGAAAATGTCTGTGATGGTAGTTGGCTGCCTGAAAAGGTGAGTCATTGCTTTTGATTGCTGAAATAATTAGCACTGCTTTCTAATTTGATTACCATGTTAACCCCTCCTGCTCTGTTCAGTCCTGCCCCAGAGATGTCAATCAGCCTTTTAGTTTCTGCTGCTCCCTCGTGCTCCCTGCTTGTGACTAATGCCAAGTTTGGGGACAGTAGACAACTGCCAGGTGCTTTCAGCACTGTGCTAGATCAGTGGACGAACAGACTCCAGCAGATGTAAACAGGATGTCAGAAAAGCTTTATTCAACAAAGATTAATACTTGGGGGAGCCATCTCCAGCGGGTCCCAAAGGCAGGTCAGATGGTCACCGTTGGCACGGGATGCCAGCTCACGGCCAGCCAAGCAGCCTCACCCCAGGGATTCCCACTTGGTGTCTGCAGAGCAGTGTGGTGACGTGGTCTGTGATTCTGGAGGTTTCCCGTCTTAATTGTAATTGTGGGAAGCCGGGATCTATTTGCAAGTGCTGACTCCCATGAGTAGCCGTGGAACGTGTGGCTGTGCTTCTCCTCCTCCACCACATCCAGGAGCGTGTAGTCCCTTGTCAGGCTTTCGTCTCTTGCCATGACAACAAAGCTGTCGCACAGTGAAGTTCTGATAAAATGTTGCCGGCAAGCCGCACGTGTTTGCCCACACGCTTTTGATCAGGGACTGGTCCCTGTCACTGCCTTGTGGCTGGCTGGAATTTGAAAGCAGCTTTGATCCATCTGTGCCAATGAAACTTGTTTGAAGTCTTTGATCCTTTTTGTGGGCAAACTGTGCCCTGGAAACTTGATGGGCTTGGGATATTTCTGAGTATTTCTTCCATTTTAAGAGTCATGAAAAGTGAGATTTGGCAGCTCTTCCCATTGGCTTGTTTGTGTTGTCTGAGTAGACTCGGGCAAAGGCATTTTACACCAGTTATAATGGTATAGAAACTCATCCCGCTGTTGCTCCTATCACCTACAAGCCCATCCTGTGAGTTATCAAGACTCAGTTGCCCTCCAGCTACAGGACAAGTCTGTGTAAGGAATTACGGGAAAAGAAAAATGGGGCAGAAACCTTCAGTGGTCTTGAAAAGGATGGAAATTATGGCATAAAAAGATGGACATGTTAAAAAATATTCCTGCATGTTCTTTTGACAGGCACAGGCTCCTTGGATGAGACAAGAGCCCATGGGGTCTGCCCATGCATGCATGGGGTGCCCTGCACTCCAGTTTTATTTCAGGTGTGCTTGGCACACTGTACCATCCCATGCTCCCCAAAATCCCTGGCTTCATGCCGTATACACATTCTGTGCACACACATTGATTTTTAAACTATAATATGCTGCATTTCCTACCTAGATAGTGTACCAAAGCAATTTTGTTCCTTAGCAAATAAAGTGAATAACTGGGTAAGTATAAATGTGTTTCTTAACAGCCTTGTTTGTGACAAAATTACGAACTAAATCTTCACACAACATAGGACTGCAAGTATTCGAGTCACATTCGGACAGCAGAGCCCACTGCACACAGATTTAATTACAATATTTCTCTCAAACACAGTCTTTCTCTCATGTTTTTCTGAACATTGTTTAAAGAACTGATGAAAGGGCTGAAAACTTTTCAAACTTTCCTTTTCTTAGGGTCTCTTCAGCTCAGTCTTTCATCACACAGTCAATAAACAGTTGAAAAGGACTCTTCTGAACTGCAGCAGGAGGGAGGAGGAAGAGGGGAAATTAATGATATCACCAAATTGAAACTCTTTCAAGTTCACTTTAATTGCAGAGGGCACAGGGAGCTCATTCAGTTTTGAATTCTCTGATCTCTTGCTCTCCCCAAAGGGCGCAGTCTTCCTCTCCTCCCACGTTGCACGCGATTTTCCTGGAGTGCTGAGCCCAACAGAGTGAAATGGGGTGGACGCCTGGCTCCTTCCTCGGGGCTCCTCCGCTGCGATGGGGTTTCAGCAGTGGAGCAGCAGCGCAGGCTGCCCGCGGGTCGGTAGAGCATCTCTCCTGCAAGCCCCAAGTTCTTTCTCTGGGTAACGAAAGTAGAGAGGGTCTTCACAGAGGGCAGAATAAGTAAACATTGGCCACAAGCTCCAAGCAGCCCTTGTGCCCACCTCTGAGTACTCTCCATCTTTCTGAACCTTGGCTCTAACGCCATCTCCTCTGCTATTCTCCTCACTTTCCAACTGCACTCCTGCTTATAATTGGGACTGCAGCGATGCGCCCCCCAGGACCCTCATCTTCCCATGCTGCACCCTCATTTTAGGTAGGGCTCTGTGGGCGCTTCACCCTTCCATGGTCCCACACCAGGGCTGGCCCTCCTTCATCACCTGGCCTTCGCCTTTGACCTTCTCTTCACAATAACTTAGGGATAAAGTCAGACATCCTCTAGACAAAGCTCTTATCGCCTGATTTGAAGTTCTGTGACCTTTTGTGCAGCCCTGGGGTGCCCAAACTGTGGCCAGACCCCGCTCAGCTGCTGGGGTGCCCTGACTTCACCCTAGTGGTCATGCTGCCATCGGTGTGCGGCACCCACTGTGCAGGGATGTTCCTTACTCATTTAGGAACCTGGTAAGCTCTTCTCTGTATTTTTTATCTTTCAGACAGAAAAATAAAGGTTTTAGAGCACAATGGAGAGGATGTAGGAGGTTACATTGCATTTAGTTAGGTTTATTGTAGATAATGAAGACTGGTGTGGACACAGAAGCATTTTGCCATTATTTTAAGAGTCTATTCTAAATAGTTGGCTGCCTGAGGAAGAAATTATGACACTTTTTGAAGCCTTGTAATTACCATATTTGTTAGAAATGTCCTTACGTGCTATCTTTCTGTCTTGTCAGTCCCAGTTAAACCCAGACGACTGGCTCGGTGCCTTGCCTGCCCATCTCTGAGATGTTAAGGGAGAGTTATGTGTCCAAGCAGTTCAAAATTAAAAGAGAAAACAAAAACCCCAAGGCTGTCTGAATATTGCCAGTGCCCACCAAGGAACTGCTCAACTAAATGCACTGAGCATGCCTGGCCATCTTTGTCTTGTGGGAAGTATCAGTGCCACAGGCTGAAAACTGCTCAAAGAGCCATTGCCACCATTGAAAAGCCTGAGGATTATAATTGCAACAGGTCCATGGACAGAAACATGAAGTATAAAGCTTTAAATTCAAGTCACACTGGTAAGTATAACAAATTAAAAGACCGAATTCCCTTAAAAAATGGGATTACAGAGGCTGTGGGGAAGAAATATTTTTTAAAGGAAGTTAAAGAGAAGTTAATCTGCTTTTATGTAATTTGTTTCCCTATTCTTCCTGAACTGGCTTGCTTTGGAGACAGCTGCTTTCAAGGTTTACAGCCGTGCATATGGTTAGGAGGGCTGGAATTGGCAGCCGATTGCCTGACAGAATAATGGCTAACTGGAAAAATAGCTGGGTATATAATTTACAAATGATACGACCACATCAAAATCAGTGAAACACAAACTATTCATTTTTACAATTTCCAGATTGCTGTCTGTTGTGATCTGTTCCTCCTGATTGCTCCCCCGTCGCGCTGCTGATCACCTCTCCTCCCACCAGCACCCGTGGCGGGGAGCACGACGATGAGCCGCAGCGCTGGGTAAGACGGAGATCTTGATTTCTGGAGATTTGTGTGTTTTAGATACGGGCTGGAGCCAAAGCATTGGTACCACCAGGTGCGTGTCTAGGCAGAATGTGGGTCTGCACGTCAGCGGTGGGGGGATCCCCCGAGGTCTGTAACCCATAGCTGGTTCCTCTCTCAGCCACCTCCTGGGCCTCCAGCCCTGAGGGATCTCCTGGGGCTCGAGCAGCCCAGCAGGTCTCAGACCTCCAGCTCTCAGGGCTGTCCTTGCTCTGAAAGGAGCCAAACAGCCCTTGGTATATTCCCAGATTTTGAAATGTGGTTTGAACCCAAACTGGCTAAGGTGAAGCAATCACAAAACCATCAATAAAACTGGTGAAGCCACTGAGTTTGATTACACCAACGGTATTTAACCTTCTGCAGATATCTCTGTTTTTTCTGTTGGAAAACTGTTGGAAAAAAAATTGCCCTTCAAAAAATGAGTGCTTTTCTGAATGTACTGTTACTTTAAATCTGGGCAGAACTTCATGCTGGTTTTCTCCCTTAGTTTTCCTCAGTGGGGGAAATGACAGTAAAAAAGGTGAGAGAGTGGGAACCATGAAATGCAGACATGGAATCTGGAAACAGGGGCTTTTTTCTAAAAACTGGAAACATCTCCAAATAAATGGCTTTCTATTTAGTAAACATCCATTTATTGTGAACCTACCAGTTCTTATTTTCTCATTGGAAAAAAACACAAAAGTGTTTTCTTAAGCCTTGTGTTCCTCTCCCCCCAAAAATAGAGATGTGGCAAAACCCAAGGGCACTGAGAGGTGATTTGTGTTGTGACACACAGGGACTGTATCTGTTTGTTCCTGGGATTACAGATGGAAGGGGCTTCTTTCCTCACAAATGCCCATATTAACCTTGAGGTGATCTGTATAATCCATCCTACACCGTGTGTTGAAAAGTGTCCATGTTTGGGAAACAAATGCCAGTCTTATTGAGGCATTAGTCTCAGTTGTATTCTGCCCCAGGGCTGAAGATTTTATTAGGCTCAACTCTTCTCAACTCCTCCTGACATTATCCCTCCGTTTGTTATCCCTCACTTAGGGAATTCAGCTGGCCAGCGTGGACTGCCTTGATGTTTTCTTGTCGCAAATTCATGGCTTCACCAGGTATGCAGTGTGTTACGTTTGAAATATATTCTGCATGGGTTGGAGAGGGTCACACCGCTGTTGAACCTCTCAGAAGAGCCCAAGCAGCACACAGACTGGTGTGGAGCACTGATAATATTGATTTCTCCAGCTGCATTGTGTTACAGAGTGTGGCCTTGCAAAGGAGGAAATTACTTCAGCGGTTGCAGCAAGTGTAAAAACTGCCATGTCATTTAGCAGACATGGTGCCAGGGCTTTCACAGAGTGTAATCCAAGTCTTTCGAAATTCTGCTGAAGGATGCTTGAGCTAACAAGGCTCTGCGCTCTCTGATGAAGCAAGCCATGTACGTTAGCTTTATTGTCAAGACATAGCGCAGAGCATTTATGGCTTTTGGCTCATGTACAGTCTAGGATCATTCTGTGAGTTTACACAAGACTGTCTATTTGTAGTTGAAAGTGAATTATTTGCTCATTAGTGGTTCAGGAAGGTCTGCTTGCTCCTGCAATGCGAGACAGCTCAGGCTTCTCTGTGTCATGAAACACGCTTGCTTTAGCCCATGCTCAACAGACTCAGAGCACCTTCAAGGTGGTCCAGAGGACATGGGATTAGGAAATCTGCAACTATTGTAAGAAAAATATTCATCTCTTTTTCCTTTTTGTTGCTCTTGCTTGCAGCACCGCCATCCCACTCTGAGGTCTGTGCGTGCCAGAGGAGGGAGGTGGGGGCAGCAAGCAGCAATGCTCTGGCCAGCCTCAGCCTCGCCTGTCACTTGGTCTTCCTCAGTGTATCCATGCTGGTGAGCTCAGCCCAGGTTCCAGTAGCCTCCCATGATCTCAGATTTTATACTTGCTTTGTACCTCTTAGAAAGAGTTCTCTGAATCAGAAAACATGGCAGATGGCAGCTCGTGAGAAGAAAACAGCTCTTCAGTGCCAGATTTAAGCAAGTATGTAAGTTTTCATCATAGTAAAAAAAAATGGCAACAGTGCTATTTCAGAGGGAAATAGGAATATGGTTAATGCTCCCCTGAGTTGGCCCCAGGCATTTGAACCCCAGTCGATTAAAACTCCTTAGGTTTGGTCGGGGCAGTGCACCACAGCATGGCCCACCCAGCCGCTTATGTCCTCTGGCTGCAGCGTAAGCAGTTGCACCCGGGATGGGGCTGGTGGCACTGCCGAGGCACCAACAACCCTGAGCCAAGCCGAGAAGGGGCAGCTGTCAGCTGAAACCTGCACCCGGCCTTTTCTGTTGGTCCCCAGGGAAACCATGCAAGCTCTGTCAAATCGCAAAGGTGATTTTCAGAATGTTTAGCAGGATCTTAGGCTTTTGGAAAAGGGGATGAATTTTCCACTGACCAATACTTATTTGTTTCATGAAACTGCAGCAGTGCAACATTATAGTCTTTTGTCCTACCTTTTTTTCTGAAAGGGAATACTTATTAGGCTTTGAAGAGGAATATTACAGAAGCCAGTGCTGTACAGTAGGCTTAGCGTATTTTGCCTCTGCCGGCTGTAGCTCTTGCTGCTCACCTTTTTCCTCAAGAGTCATTTCTTATCACTGCCAACCTCCAGGTACTGATAGAGAAACAGGGACAGACTGCTTTACCTCAACATGGGCAAATTTTGGATTTTCAGTGATTTTTTTCTGGCATGATTTCTGTCATACAACAGTAGAATATTTAGAAATACGAAACCAGTATTGTTATAGTGAGCTGCCGCCATCGGCTACTGCCAGCCTCATCAGCTGAATGCAGGAAACCATTGCCCAGATGTGGGCAGCTGTGTGGACATGGAAATCAATGGTTACTCAAGGCGTGGATTACTGCAGGGGCAGCTTAACTGTGTGTAGACAGGTGCAATGCTGGGTACAGACTTGAGACATGTTTTGCATCACTCTGACTTCAGTGGAAGGAAACTGTTTTATAGCAGAGACTGAAAACTCTGGTGGGAAAAGCTGTAGATGATGACCTTAGAGCCTGGTGTCTGTTCACTGTGCCACTGATGTGCAGAACCATGGTTTTGAGTTCCACTTCCTCTCTGTTTTATCTGTTTGAAGCTCTGGGGACAAGGATTAGTCTTTACTTGGAGATTTTAATATTCAAAGATAGATTAAGACAAGAGCGTCCCGATGTTAGATGACCATTAAATACTAAATTCTGTAAAATCCTCCAGCAGCATTAGTCAAATCAAGCCCTAAATCCTAAAAGCTTTGTACTTTCTCCAAAATAATTACACCCCAGTATCACCTTTGAAGCCATGTCCTTTGTTAATCAATAAATAAGCAATTCCTGGTTATGTCAACTGGAGAAGTTCTAGCTGGATTAGCTGTGGCCCTCCCTTGGACAAGCCATAAGTGAAAAGCAGATTCTCATGGCTGAGTTACAAAACCACTAAACAAAATGGAAATGTTGATGTTCGTTATTGATTTTATTCTTTGCTGCCATGGAATGGTGCTAGTAGGAGCTGTTGTAATCAGATTACTTTAAAACTTACTTACAGAAGGAAGTGCTTAATTTATCTCCCCTTTTTTCTTTTCCTAAAGTGATACTATATCAAGGTATCTACTGTGTTTCTTGTAGAACAGCCCTTCTCTTTTTGGTTTTCTCACAGTGTTTGTGTAATTCATTTCTTATCACTCCCTATGATCTTTTAAAAAAAATTGGTATGTGTTTTATCTCCTATAATCACTCATATTCTTTATGGAATAGAATAGACAATGATTGTTGAAGATATAAATGTTTCTGATTTCTGGAAATAGCTAGCAAAAACGACAGTTACTAAACATTCATCTAAAACTCCCTGTGCTGACAAGTCACAGATATGTGCCTGTAAGCCTGCATGTCTTTAGGATTCAAGTCAGAGAGGCTGATACCGGTTTAACTGAGAATCTGGTAAATGCTGCATTTTGAGTGATATATCCTCTCATAATCTGTGAGGTTAAATGGTTTTTTTGATTTGATTCTTTACTGCCTTCCCCGTTTTGCATCAGATCAAATAGGGTGTGAAATGATAGGAAGTCCAAATGGCACATTTGCCTGCCCACCCTCCGCTCGTTCGCAGCGGTGTGAGCGACTGCAGCGAGCACAACGGAGAAAGAGTAAATTAGGCTTTAATTGCCCCTGATTAGTCATATGTAGTGTACCGATATTAGTGGCAATTTCAGTGGGCAGAGCGTCTGGGGAAGCCATGCCCCATCGTTAATCGAAGGTGTTTGTGGGGCTGGCAGCGATGCTGCTGCAGGTCACCAACGTGCTGGGTTTCTTCACGTTCATGTTGAATCTTATTCTCCATCCTCTTCAGCCCGTGGGGGATACCTGAGCCTGAGGAATGCAAAGCCCTTGGGCCAGGAGGAGCTACAGCCGTGGTCAGCCCTGCCACCATCCCTCCCCTGCCTAAAGCACACCAGCTCCTTGTGAAAACATACCCTGCGTTGGTGGCT